CTTTATACCTTTCCAAGTGTTGTGTGGTGGGTAAAGGGTTTTTTTTTGCATTTGTTACTGGTTGGGATGGATGAACAAGGCATTTAACCGAAGCTATAGTTGCACTGAGCGACACTAACAGCTGGAGGCTCTTGGAGTGTTGACTCCAAAGTAAAAGATATGATTGCATTTCTGCTGGCATCCAGTATTTGTTTTCAGTATTTTTAAGATGGAGAGTGATAAGGAAATAACTGTTTTTAAAATTTTTTTTAAATTAGTTAGGGAGCAGATGGTTTTATTCCACTTGTGTATCTGGAAAAGTCAGCACTATTTTAAGTTTTAATGAAAAATAGGAGAATTGAGGAGTCATCATTCGAACTCTGATTACAATGAAAATAATGCATGTATATTTTCTGCATTTTTTTTACTGTATTCTCATATGCAAATAAGTTCAGCCCAAGACTCTGGAAATTGTCTAGCTAAATCCTATTTCTTCTCAGTGAGATACCTAGTCAGGAATACTACCACATTTAAAACAAAACAAAACAAAACAATCACAAAAAGAAAAAAAACAAACCAACCAAACAGAAACAACACACAGTTTTGCAAAAGCATGATTAATTTAGGTAAATGAATAAAGCAATAAACGTCGGCATTTTAGAGCAGATTAACACTGAGAGGAAAACTTCCCTTCTGCGTGCAACTTGCGGAGCAATGACAGTGCAAGTAGCCTCTGATGTCTGGGAGCCTGCTGGTCTCCCTTCAGGTGGACCATCCTCTAGGGACAGAGAGAGGGTAGCTCACCCTTCATCTCTGCTAAGACTGCAAACTGTTAGTGACTTTCCTCGTATTACCTGATAATGAGAATGGATTTGAGAACGGGACCTTTTTTCCCACGTCCTTTGACAGGTTATTGAGAAACAAGCAGTTGTGTGACTGCTTATCTTAGAGGTATTTAATTCTGCACACTACAAGAAAAGCTTTACGTTGTGGTGTTTATCACTTGAGCTTATACTTTACTTCCCTTCAGATATGGCACATTGGAAATGGCAGATTGCTTGTTTTTATCATAGTCTCTTTTTCTTGTTTGCAAGTACCTAACCGCTTATTCCTAAAGAATTATAATTTACTAATTCTGCCACTCAGAACGTTGCCTGAAATATTTTTCTGCTGATTCAATTGTGGTTTGTTGATTTTTTTTCTTTTTAATTGACTGGAAAAGTAGGTGGCTGAACTTTCATACTGTGTCTGCAGAACTTGCTTTAGAGCTTCCTTCATGTTTGAAAAGTGGAATTAAAAAAAAAAAAAAAAACACCAAACTTTTCTGACTAATAATGTTGCTCATGAGGTCACTCCTCCTTTCTGTAGAAAAGGAATGGACCAAAACAGCATAAATGTGATGGTTCTGATTAAGTACCACTGGAATGAAGCAAACTGAGATCTAACTACCCATTACTACCATGCAACTTTTTGTGAATTTCCACCAATTATGACTTTAAAATATTCAAGTAAAAAGATAACATTTATCTTGTTAAAGATTATATCAAAATAAAGACTTCATGTCTGTCTGAAAGGAAAAAGGGGCTTAATTCCTTACAGTTAGCTAAGCAGTTAATTTTTTTTACAGGAAATCTAAATTTAACAGAAGACCCCAGGGAAATTCAAGGGTGTGAACAATAAGCATAATATTTTATGAAAATGACCCCCATATTTAAAATCTGGCATTATATGTTATGCATTGTAGCACCAAGTCCACATCTACCTTTTAGAAAATTAAAACACATAAATTCTGTTTAGTGTTTGATATGCACTGCACTAGCTGAAAGCCATAATGCCCCTAAAACCTTGGGTTGCTTTTCACCTTTCATAAATTCCTGGGTAGATTCTATACAAAAAATAATTTTCAGCTCCGTGGCTCATTGTTATTCAAAGTTGATTGATCGTCGTCATTTACTCAGTGAGGAAGTTAAGTGCTCCTGTCATTTCCGAAGAGTATAATTGGGACGTTTCACAGGTCAGCGGTAGTGACAGGTTTCCCTTTTGATTAGTGTTAGACTGATAACAAAAATTACAGTTTCCTATGATTAATGTTTTCTATAGTACTTGAATGCACAGTTCATGGATTGTACCTAAACAAAGTGAATTTGCATCTGATTATGCCTTTTCTCTGTCAGGCTTTTCACATACTTTAAAGTTTTAGACCATGCAGGTAATACAGCAAAGTTGCTTCTAATGCAGTTTTCTAGTAGGGGATTAGTGAATTTTAGTATATTAATGTACAGACAGCTATGTGCCTCCAATGGCATGTGAACAAATTAGGAGAAACTTCAATTAAAGGTAGTACTCTTCTGAATTCTTTCTAGTCCTCTCAGATATGCCATGCACATGACTACTTGTATTATACCCACTGATATTTTAGGTTTAATCTGGTGATTTAAGTTAAATGATCAGACTGAACTGAGTTTTCTTTCTCTGACTGGTTTGACATTATTTCTCAATTTCTTAAACCTGTTGCAGTTTGTTTACAGACTACTTCTGACTAAAAGCTATGGAAATACACCAAATTTACCTTCCTTGTTTTATAAGGAGAAAGTTAGTCAGCTTTTACATTATGGCACAAAGTTGTAGACTAAGATCATCCATGGCAAGTTTTAGCTTGGTAAAATGTCTTTTATTAGCTAAATGGGAACTGAATATGGAAAGTATGATGTTGCCCTGTTTCAAGCTAGAAAAATAAGAGTGGCTGTTATTTCCAAACTTAAATTGCCCTGATCAGATAAAAAAGGGATGACAACACTAGCAGAATTTTGAAACCAAAATACAAACTAATTTCTCTTCAATCTCTAGCCTTCTTCTATTGTGCAGAGTGTAAAACCTGATGATATTTTTCTTTCTGAAGGCCATTGGGAAGGTCTTCTAAAAGTTGTAGTTTAAGACAGATGTTTTTCTTTCATGTCTAGTGCCTTTGTGAGTTCGTGATCGGTGGTAAAATATTTGACCCTTTCTTTGCATTAGCACTCTATTTTTGGTGTCTGCTGTAGAGGTCAGGTTCAGTATGCATCTGTCTTGGCCGTGCCAAGTAAGGGCTGAATCGCTTCTTTCTTTTAGACAAGGAAAAATTATTGCAGTGGGAAACAAAAGGTAAACTAGGGTGCAGGATCCTCCAGCATAACCTGAAGGTTGGGAGCTCTCAAGGTAGCGATATTTGGGCTGAAGAGCCTGTGTTGCGGTAGCTACCTGTCTTTCGTAGCAGAGTACTTGCAAACATTATTATTTTAAAATGAAGACTAACTAGGTCTTCTCTGGTAAGAATGCAGTTGTAAATCTACTTTATTCTTCAGGACAGTTAACTTTTTTCTTTTTTCCCATTGGAACAGCAACTTTCTTAAAGTAATTTTTTAAACAAAGGGAAGAGTTGTACTTATAACTTGCACCATCCATTCATTATATGTTAAGGTGTATCAGTATGTGTACTAATATCAATTAATGTTCTCTATTAGAAATTAATTCAGTCCAGTTTACAAGTAATACTGACCAAAAAGAAATGCCGGGGTGTTTTTGTTTGTTTATTATTTATTTTAAATTTTTAACTACATTCAATAAACCAAGACTGGTTTCTAGGTTTTTTGGCTTCAGAGTATATGTATGATTTGAAGGAACTCAGCTGTGCAGCTGTGACATGAGATTAGAGTACTGAATTAAATTGGCAAAATTCTGCTGCAGGCAAAACCTGCAGTATCCTCCGGTGCTTGTAACAATGAGTAGTTGATATGAATATCAACATAAGTCAGGTCCAATAAGAGAAGTAAAGAACACAGCTGAAAATAGTAAAAATGATACCATTCCTTATCTATCGCTTTGACTTGCTGCAGTGAAGTTGAAAAAAGTGATAGCCTGTGGTAAGGTTGGTTTTAGTGGATACCTTTATTATTTCCTAGACTTGTAAAAGTGCATGGCAAACATACGGTAATGTGCTAATTATATTGTTTTTAAGAATTAGGTAACTCCCAAGGTGGACAAAGGAAATAGAGCATAAAACCTCCATCATTGCTCTCTTTTAAGGGTAGTTGGCATTTGCTGTTTTAAAGTTTTAAAGTTTTGATAGTACAAGCCACATCTGAGGTGGCACAGATTCTTCTAGTTTACATGTAGTAGAGATGAAAAATTCACTTTCAGGTATGGAACATGCTTAGAAAAAAAAAATGTAGAGACTTGCTGGCAAATATACAGTAGTAGCTAGCTGAAATGATATATAGGAGACCACTTACATGAATGAATTACCCTGGTAAGTTGGTAGGAACTCTATTTTTATTTTTCAGCTAGTCATAGATACTCAATTTCAGTCTGCAATATAGACATACACATTTTAAAAACACAATTTTTTTGATCCAGTACATAGTAATGTGTGCAGTCTAATGATACAGATGGTTAGGAAGTACCAAATTAGTTGAGAAATTATTGTATCAAATTATTTTTAATGTTGTTGTGAGGAAACAGTGAAACACTCTAGTATACAGATGTGAATATTCTTACTTTGGTCAGTATTAGCTTGCCAGTCCATCAGCTTCCTTTCCTGTTTGTCTTCTCTGGTTTTGAGCTCTTAAACAATTTGTGGTACTATTTAACATGCCACAGACTATTTGTGTGCAGCTAAATGAGTAAAATCAACCAAAGGAGAAGAGATAAGGCTATAATTTGCTCATTAAGTCAAAATCTTGATGTTATTTTAAGATTTTTTTGGTCTTATTTTATAGCTTCGCACTTTCTCAGACTTCACCAACTGCAAGTGTTCTGATGGATAAAAAGGGCTTTAAAGAAGCCCTTAGGATAGAGTATGGCTTTAGAGATAAAATGTTAAGCAAAGGCCTAATCTTAGATAAAGATTAAATGCATAATTAGGGAAATACTTTTGACATAGAGCAGTCTCAGTAGGGCTATCGAGATGTCTGTGAAATATTTTCAGTGTGAAGGGAAATGAAAAACAGTCTTCACATTTTAAAAAAATAAAAAAATCTTTGTAGATGAAAGCCTCGGATGACGATGATGATGATGATGAGGATGAAGATGAATTTGTGGAGGTCCCTGAGAAGGAAGGTTATGAGCCCCACATTCCAGACCACCTGCGTAAGGAATATGGTGAGTTTGCCCAGCTGTGACAAGCCTTATCCCTGCATGTTACTGCTGCACTAAAGTAAATAAACAGCCATTCTGAAGTAATAAAGTGATCAGCGGTGTGGGTAATCTCTGACTGCTATGAGGAAGTCATTACATAGATACGGGAGCAGCGATTCGCTCTAGATAAATAAATACTTTCTAGGAGCAAGAGCAACTGCGACGAGAAGCTTATTTCATTCCATCTCGTTCCCCTGTAGTTTAGAGCCAGAAGCAGCACTGTGTGTGCTTACAAGTGTGCTAAGTGGGAGTGAAGGGGTTGCAAAGTAAAGCTGTAAATGAGCCTGAATATTAGAAATACTGGTAACAGTCTGGTGAGATGGGATAAGGTTTTATACTATCACTGGCATTAATAGGACCTGAAGACGCGCAGCCACTCCCTCCCATAGGTTGGCTAACTTACAGCTCAGGAAGAAGGCTTTTTTTTGTTTGGGGGTTGCTATCACAAGATGTTAAATAGAATTCAGCCTTCAAGTGCAGAATTATAGCCACTGAGTGCATACCAGGTGACAAAATATAATCTCGCCTTCTGTTAATGTGTTCTAAATACTTTTTTTTTTTTTTTCCAAATAAAGATATAATGTGTTTTTGTGGAATCAAGAGGGGAGTTACAGAGGAAAGTTCATCTTAAATAATTAAAATTCAGTGCATTACTCCTTATCTTTTGTACATCTAACTTAAGTGTCTGCAGCTTTGCCTCCGTAGCATTGTGTATTTTAAGATTCAAAAGATTTCAGTACATTGTAGGGAAGGAAAGGGTAGCTGCCATCACGTAGAAGCTAAAAACCTTGTACACCTATAAGTTTCTTGCTCCTTTTCTCCATGAGTATTTGTGTAAGACTAGTCCTGTGTTGTGTCTTTTTCAATCCTGTTCATGCTTATTTTTAACTTACCTGCAGTTTCCATTATAAAAGTCAGGTTCCAGCTATCACCTGTATAAGCCAAATGTTTCTTTTTGCTGAAACAAGGGGGTGTGCCTGTGTAAACCTGAGGTGATGGAGCTCAAGTGACCTTTTTACTGTCTTCTGCCATCAAATTTGGCTACAGACAGCAAATGATGATCGGTAATGATAATGATAACATGTAGTGACTGGGGTCAGATCAGGGATGTCTCCAGGTGTGAAGTCCTGCTCGTGCATTGCTCCATCTCCACCACCTAGACTTAACCTGCCAGGACACCCTGGGAAGTGAGGCCTGCTTTGATTATCTGTGTATCTCTGCTCCCCACCTGAGGACTTGCAGCAAGTCCAGCTGGCTGGTTCCAGTTTGTTTGAAGGAAGTAGGTGTGTCTGTTTCTCCATGCCCTTAAAAAAAATGTGGAAATTTGAACTATATAGAGGACTATAGAGGTTAGACTAGTGCCCTGGTAAGCAGGTAGCTGCACGGTGGTTTGGCATGACTCTTGGCATATGTGTTGCTTGAAACAGACGGTAGGCACTCACTTTGTCCAAGCAAGAGTTGGGGAAGATGAAGTGGATCCGGGAATATTGAGATAGCAAAATGGAAGGTGGTTGTGTGTGTTTAAATGAGAACACTGAACAGTGGTGAAGGGCTGTAGGATGTAAATTCAGGAACTGGGCAGCTTTTTATTTTTTTGCTCATGGAAAAAATGTTTTATTATACCAGTATACGCTGGCTATCCCAACTACCTCAATCTTGCAATAAATACCAAGTAAATTTTGTTCCTAACAGTGGGACTTTCAAAAAAGGAAAATAATGAAAGGAGAGGTAGCAGCTTTCCAGACACATGTGAAAAGCTTCTTATATATACATGGCTAATGAAAGAGCCAAAAAACATTGACAGTAAAGGAATGAGCAAATGAGATTAGTTATTAACATAGCTATGGTTCTTCTTTGTTTTGTTTTTTTGATTTTGTTTCTTTATTTCCTTCCACTGGAAATATTTCTTGTGCCAAAACTGGTATTTTCTTAATAAATCCAGGCACTGGAACTTGGTTTTCATATCTTTAACAGCAGCCTGATGAATCCTAACATCCGAAAGTTCTGTTTATACTTATCAGCTTCCACTGGAAGTGAAAGTACTCATCTCTTCCTTCTCTCCCTCTCTCCCTTTCCTCCCTTGTCTTCCTCATGGACACACACTTTTAAAAAAGAAAGCATCCTACCACCCTTTCTATAACACTAACACAATACTTCGCTGCTGTTTTAATTCCTCTTCATGGAAAAGGATGAAAGAACAAGCCTACTATCTACTCAAAGATATTTTAAAAATGTATATAAAATGGATTAAGAAATTCCCAATTTGTATTTAAACTATTGCTGATAGGAAAGTATATTGTAGTGAAGAAGTGAATCAATCAGAAAACAAAACCTCTCTCTCATTTTGTATACATGTAGTTATGTAGGATGTAATGGTCATACCTGGCTGTTCTTATCTGATGTGTTTGTTAAAAATAGCATTTTGAAAGAAAAGAACCATTCTTGATGTTCCTGAAGGCAGTTCAGCTTTTCTTGCTTCCATTTAAAGTTATTATGTAAGCTCCCAGATCAGGAAAGAGTGTGAAAAGAATTCAAAACAACTGAAAAGCATTTGGACAGTCTTTTAAGCATGTGCTTTCTTCTGTCTTTGCTTGCTCAGTTACTAGTTCAAAATCTATTTCAGAAGCCAATATATAACTATTGCATAAATTGACTGACTTCTGTGTAATTATTTTAGGTCTGCATGAGGAAAAGAGAGAATAGTATTTGCTCCACTGGGTTCTGTTCTGCATGTGTTTTTAATAAGCAAAACCAAAATAAGCATCCCCTTGGCACGTTTAGAAAAGTGAATTATCATATTAAAATATACAAGAATATATTGGTTTCATAGTGGCATGATGCAATCAGGAGTTGGCTGTGTTAGGCAGCCACCTCTCTAATTATATATCGTTCTTTGTTCCATATGCAAGTGCAGTTATCGTAGCAGTGACTTTAGCTTTATCTTAATATAATCCAGATGGGGTTTTGCTACATTTTAGTTCACATTTAGTTCATGAGGGCTGCAAACTAAGAAAATGAAAGGCTGTGCAAGTGGAATGTTCTAACTGGAACATTAAACCTTCCATGTAAAGTAAAATCTTGGTGTTATGTAGAAGATGTGAACAGTTTAAAGCTTTTTTCCTTATGTTTTTACTTTTCTTGAACAAGCCAGCAAAAGTGAACAGCTCCTCGAATTAACTTTTTATACTAAACAAGAAAGCAAAGTGGTCAAACACAACTCTGGAAATGGATTGAAATGTGACTTTTAAATTACTGATTTAAAAGTCACTTTATTCCCTTTCATTTCTCTTATGAAAATGGAAGTATCCAACCAGCAAGGTAAATTGCAAGATGAGATGCTATTTCTGATGATGCATATGTGTATTTGTGATTCTCCTGAGATCTGAAAAGTTTATGAAAAATTAAAAGATACTTAGAGATGGGAAGTTTTACATACATAAGTATATAGAAGTACAGTTATATTATCTGTTTATATATGTAGTTGATGATGATCTCAAAATTGATGATGGTATTTAATATGTAAGATGAACTGAGCATGGGTACAGTTTGGGTGGAGAGAGAATTAAACAAGTCAATTTGAATCTCTGTGTTTAAGATGAAATGTAAATTTGTTAAAAGAATTTAGGTGATTAGGCAACTGAAGTGTGAAGATATAACCCATTAGGGGTGTCATGCCAAATTAGCATTACCAGACTTTTAATGACCTCCCATTTGTATAATCCTTATTTACACTTGCACCTGATGTCTGCAACAGACAAGAGACCAGCCATCCTGTGATACCACAGGGCCATTTTAAATGCATTGTGTTGCTAAAGAGGAGTATTGGGCTGAAAAAGAAACAATGCTGTGAAAATAATTTCTTTAGGGTTACTCTGATTCTCAGTACTCTGCACTGATATTGCTTATACCCACTGCCCTTGTATGGCTAATATTGCTAACCCCTTAAAAACTAAGGCATTATTCATTTAAAATAAAGCTTTAGGGAGAGAGAAAATCTGGTTTCCACTTGAGATTTCCCACATTCCAGCCTTTGCTGGTCAGCTGTGGGTTGCATTGGCTTAAAGCCTTAAGGTGGATGGAACTGTGCAGCATCTGCCATTGTGCTCGTGCCATAGACAGAATCTGGTTCTGACACCGGGATAAGAGATTCCTTCCTGCCCTTGGTGGTCTTGGCATAGTTTGCAGCTGAGCTCCGAACTGCTTGGGGAAGTGATCCATTTTGAGAGATGTGCTTTTCCGTGTAAAAATGGAACAATTCTCAGATCTAGTTCAAAGCAGCCACCTCCAGCAACTGTTGTCTACTAATGGCTTTTCTCAGTTCATAATTCTCGCCCGTGTCTCAATGCATGCATTCATGAACTTCCTTATGCAATACTACCTGGAAGTACAGGGAAGTGCTGTTGCCATTTTGCAAGCAGTGACATGAGGAAGCCATCTGACTTGGGAATATTAGCATGGAAGTGGTCTACCAGTTATCAAGTTTCATTCTTATCCAAAATTATATGAGAAATGACCGTACAGTCCAGAACACAAACCATTATTTCAAATCTTGTTAATCAGATTATTTCTCTTGTATTTGAGCCTTAAGCCAAAATGGTTTTAGGTCCCTGATAGTTACTTCAGTAGTTCACATTGCATCTTAAAGCCTGCTTGGGATTTCTTTCATATCAAGATCAAAACTGCAGTTCTAAAATCCCAAGGGTTGGTTCTATCCATTTCAGAAATTCTTCACTCTTCCCATCACAGAGTGATGTGCCTTTGTGGGTTAGATGTCCCCACAGTGCCTTTCCTGATCTGATAGTGGCTGGGTCATGCCTTTTCTGTGTGTTAAGTAGATCTTTTTTCTTAGTATGAAATGTCATAGCAACATGGCAAAGAAAGCTTATACCCCAATTGAACAAATAAGGTGTACAAAACCAGACTATTTCCTTCATAGAGAAGTCACCACCTGTTTTTTACATAGA